GTAGAGATGGCAGCTCAGAAACCCCCGTGGGACATTTCTTCTCTGTCCCATAATAAGGCCACTAGGAGCCAGAAGCGACTGGATGATGTAAACAGCAAAATAAAGCTAAAAAAGAAAGTAAGTCCAAGCCTTCAGAGCATACTTGTGAAACATGGGGGACCCCCATGCGCTGGGATTAGCACAATGCCGCTGGTCTTGGCCTCTTTCTTTAGGTCCGTGGAGGGTGGGGGGCCTCCACTGGGCTTTCCTTGTTGGCACCCTGGCCCATACTCTCACCTCCTTTCAGTTCACACTCTACTTTGTTGGCTTCCCTGTGACATGAATGGGCCCTGGCTGCATCTCCTGCCCCATCCCCTCCCTGGATTTCGTGTTCCATTCTCAGGTCACACCAGGCAGGACAGGTACTGACCTCACCCCAGGTTTTATCTGATTTCACTGCTGGGCCAGCACATTTTCCACGGGCACCGGGGCCGAGGGGGGCACCTTCCACTTGTCTGCAGGGACCGGTGGGCAAACGAAACTCTGGTCTCCCCACCACCTGTGACACACACGGGCTTTGACAAGACCCTGTGGCTGTGACCATGAGTACAGGTGATTAATGCCCCTGCCACCACGTCCACAGCACCCCATGTTCCCAGTTCCCTGTGGTTATCAGCCCTGTCCACCTGGCCTTCCAGAACGGCCCGCTCCGCTCCCCGGCTTGCCCGCGCCTCTCTGAGCCCCGTCTTGCAAAGAGCCATAAAGACACTTCTTAAAACACATCATTGAATTCCCGTCCGCGGCTGCACTTTATGGCTTTGGCGGAGACGCTTCCTCCGCTCGGCTCTCCAGCTCAGGAGCCGCCGGGAGAAGCCGTTTCGGGGGTCAGGCCTCCCCATCAAAATTGACTGCCGACATCATTTCACAACACCTGCCTCACTGAGCCGCGGAACAGCCTCGCCTCTCCAAAAATGAAAGAAAATGAAAATGCATATTTTATATCTTTTTTTTTTTAAATATTAAACTCACTTGTGCTTTAAGGCTGTGTCTCTCCTGCCAAACAAGGGAGAATGTTACAGTGGCAGGTGGCATGTGCTTGGCTGTAGATCCTGCTTTTTGTTCTCACTACGGGGGTCTGGGGGTGATGTCACCCTGCAAGATGGGGAAACTGAGGCCCTGTTTGCAGCAATGAGTTTCTTCTGATCCCCACACGTTTTCCTTCCTGTAAATGAGCGTGTGTGGTGGTGCAGACAGTTCTGGCTCAGCCTCTGACAAAAAGGTTGGCCGGAAGCCACCCAGAGGTGTCCACTCTCCTGTGAATGCTCTTAGCTCTCAGTCTGTCTGCTGCTGCTTTGCCCCTCCTTTCAACCCACTGTCAGTGCTGTGATTCAAAAGCCCCTATGCTTCCTGTCCCTGCCTGCTGTCACCCCAAATCCACATGATCCCAATGGAGCTTTAGTGCCTTCCCCTAAAACGTATTTTTCTACTTGTCCAGTTTTCCTGAGCCTTTGCTGAGCTGCAGCTCTGCAGGCCCTTTGAACCAGCAGTCAGGAGATCAGATTCCTGTGGCACTGGGAGAGTCTGCTGATAGGGATCTTTCCAAAGTCCTGAAGGGCAATGACGTTAGTTTAAAGACAAAGGTGTGTCCAGTTCAAGCCAGTCTTTTAGTCATCTGCTGCAGATCTGAGCTGGACAGTGAATAAGGATGACAGGAGAAGAATCGATGCCTTTGAGATGTGTGTTAGAGAAGAGCACTGAATATCACATGAACTGTCAAAAGAACAAACAGATAGGTGTTGGAGAAGGTGCAACCAGATGTCTCCTTGGAGGCAAGGATGGCGAAGTTTCATCTCACATATTTTGGACATGTTGTTAGGATAGGCTATTCCTTGGAGAGGGACAGCATGCTTAGGAAGGTGGAGGGTCAGCAAAGGAGGAGAAAGCCAACAAGATGGATTGAGAAAGTGTCAGTGGCCAGGTGTGTTGGAGATGACACGGACGGTGCAGGGTAAGACAGGGCTCAGATCTGTTATTTGTAGGGTCATTATGAGGTACTTGACAGCACTGAATGCGAACTCTGGGGTTATCTAAACCTCTCTTCCTCTTACACCCTGATTCCCATCCATCAGATGTCAAATCAGTCTCCCAGATACCCCAGACCAGTTCTCTATTATTTCCTCCCCCAGCCCCAGCCCCTCCAGGATTTGAGTTACTGGTTTGGTGGTGGTCTGCCTGAGCTAGCCTCGAACTCCTGACTCAGCTGTAGATTCAGGAATTCCACATCTTATTCTCAGCTGTGTCCTGGCACTGACACAAGTGTCTGCATGCCTCAGGTGCTCAATGAATGCAGGTCCCGCATGCTGGAGGTGCTCAATGTATGCCCGTTCAATGTATGCCATGTATTCCCCTGGAAGAGGAAGCAAGTGGCTTCCAGAAAGCGTGGTTCTGGTTTGAGCCGGAGTGGAAGGTAGCCTGGGCTATACTAGACTTCTAGCAGAATCATCCCCTCAGTTCACACTGCAGGCATGAGCTGGGAGCCCTTTGCACGACTTACATCAGCTCCTGCTTTCAGAATCTTTGGTGCCGTGGGGTCCGCTGTCATTGGACAGAGCGGGAGACGGAGGCCTGTGTCTGCTCAATACCTCTCACAGTCATTCCCATAGAGGGTTCCTCCCCCACCCGCTTCCCTAGTTGCTCCCCTATCACTATGTGTTTTTCTGATGGCATCAGAGCCCTGGCTGCTGTGGTCTTCAGGCTCTGGTCTTGGCCGTATGTTGCTGGAGGCCGACATTCAGGGAACCAGGCAGGGCTGAGCCGCGGCGCTCATGTGGCTTCAGGCCAGCAGGCGGAGCCCGTGAGCTGCACGCGGGGGCCAGCGCTCTGTGGACGCCTCCTCTGCCTGGTTACAGCCCCAAAGGGAAGGTCACGTCCAGGGCAGCCCAGAGTGGACCTGGCCGCCATGGAAACTGAGTCCACGAGTGGCTGGGGCTTTTCAATCAGTGCAGGCAGCAGACCTGCTGGTGGCCAGTGTGTTTGAACCTGCTGTGGCGCCCACTGAATTGGTCCATCTCAGGGAGAGTTTCTTTTTTTTGGGGGGGGGGGGAATTTATCAAGGTTTGAATGAAAATTTGCAGAGCAAACTAGTTTCCCGTCCAGTAAGTTACACACATATTGTTCCAAAACATTTGTTACAATCCCCTTAGTGTTACAGCACTCGTCCCACCTCCTCCATGGGTTTCCCATGTCCCTTTGCCCATCTTCTTGCCTTTCTGAGCTTTGTTTCTTGAGCAGATACTGTCCTTGTGGCCTCATGTGATTGGTGTTCCTCTCTCTCTGTAGGCTTTTTGTTTGGCTGAAAGGGGGTCTTGCTTTGTCTAGAACCTTCTATTGGATCCCCGTTGGAGAGAGAGGTCGGTACTGTTATTCTGTGGCCCTTGAGCCCAGTGGGCCTGCTTCCTTGTATCTGGTTATTAGCGGCTGTTGAGTTGATTCTGACTTGACAACGCTAGTGTCCAGAGCAGAGCTGCTCCCTGGGGCTTTCCAGGCTGGGACCTTTCAGAATCTGGTCACAGGCTTTTCTGAGAGGGGGTTCTGGGGGCCTAGACTGCAGGGCGTTAGTTGCATTGCTAATTCAAAGGCAGTTCGAATCCACTAGCTGTTCTGAGTGAGAAAGATGGGCATTCTCCTCCCGTGTGATTTATAGCCTCCAAAAACTTATTGGAAGGTCAGGTACGAGTAGTAGTGCGGGTCTTCTGAGACATCTCTGGCTGGGGTCCAGCAGCTCTGCCATCTGCTCATAGTTGAACACTTATCCCTGCACCCCCAGAGACGCCTGGGTAGTGATGACGGTGTAACCAATTGATAATACCCTGCTGCGAGGTACTATCGAGTCAGTTCTGACTCACATATTACCTTAAGGTAACAGAACGGAACACTGCCCGCTCCCGAGCCACCCTCGTACGCGTTCCTGTGTCTGACCTGTTGTTACAGCCACTGTGTCATCCATCTCGTTATGTGTGTCGTTGAATAAGAACCAATTCATAGCTGACCCTCCAGTGGGGTTTGTGAGGCAGTAAATCTCAAGGAAGAAGATTACCCATCCTTCCCCCTTAAAGCAACTGGTAGATTCGAACTGCATGCCTTTGGGATTGCAGTGCAGCTTCTTACCACTAGGCTACAGAGTTCCCTTCATCTCTCCAAGGGTCCCTCTTTTTTCAAATGACCTTTGGTAAAAGGAGCCCTGTGGTGTCGTGTGTCACAGGTGGGCTAACTGAGAGGTTGGTCGTTTGAGTCCACCAGGCACTCTGAGGGAGAAAGACGGGCAGCATCCTCTCATTGATAGGTGCAGCCTCAGAAACCCGAGGGAGGGTCCCTAGAGTCGGAACCACGCCACGGACAGTTTACTCAGTCTCCTCTACGAAGCTGTGTCTCACGTCCAAAGTCATGACGGCTCCCCATCCGGGCCCCCACGAAGCGTTCTGGGGCGTCCAAGACAGATTTGCTCGTTCTTCTGGCATCTGCACCCTACTCAATATTCTTTGTCAACACTATAATTCAAATATGTCAGCTCTGCTATCTTCCTTTTTATCTACTGACGACTGTAACAGATCATGTGTCACCAGCCAGCCCAGCCTTTGCAGGCCTGAATGCCTGGGAGCCGGGGCTTTTCAATGGGAGGGCGTTCGTATCCTGTCTCTATAAATTTAGGGACCCAGAGGGATGCAGGTGCAGTGTGTGTGTGTGAGGTCCTGAATTCTGAACCCAGACCTATGGTACTGGAGGAAGTCCTTCAGCTTCCCTGGGCTTCAATTTTCCTCTTAAACAGAGGGAGTGGAAAAAACCCCCAAACAAAAAACAAAGAGGGTGGGGCAAGGAGATGAAGGGACGCCTCCCTCAGGCCTTTGTCCCACACATTGTGGATGGTAAAGTGGGTGTGTGTGTAGAAATGCAAAGTCTCTTTAGGGGTGCTGGGGTGGGACAGGTGCCCTGACTGCCCCTCTCTTTGTTACCTCCCCCCCCAGCCTTCCTGAAGGGCCTGAGTGACAAGCAGAGGGAAGAACATTATTTCTGCAGGGACTTCGTCAGGCTGAAGAAGATTCCCACGTGGAAGGAGATGGCGAAAGGTAGGCTCTGCGTGGGGGCTGGGTCTGCGTGGGGGCTGGGTCTGCGTGGGGGCTGGGTCTGCGTGGGGGCTGGGTCGGGACCTCTCAGGCCCACGGCTTGTCCAGCCCACAGGAAAATCATGCTTGCAGGCCTTCTCTCCTCTCCTTTCAAGGAGGAAGGTCTGTCCCTTTAGGGATGTAACTTTATAGTAAATCTGTCGTTACTATTCACCCTCATTTCTGCCTTCTCATCTTTCTTCTCATTCCTGCTCTGTAAATAAAGGTTTCAGCCTAAAATAAATAAATAAATGAATGGATGAATAAATAAGATAGATAGATAGATAGATAGATAGATAGATAGATAGATAGATAGATAGATACTTGCAGCATTGAGCACTTAATATGTGCAGGGTGCTTTGCGTGTATCACCTCTTTTAATTATTAACATGCCAGAGGCAAGGTCAGTGTTTATGCCCATTATATAGCTGGAAAACTGAGCCTCAGACATGGTAAGCCAGTCCCCCTGGTTGACCCAGTGACCCTGAGGTGGGATTTGAACAGTGATGCAGTCGGCTAACACAGGGTCATGCTGTTGAATAGCCAGTCCCTGCGAGTTCCTGACCTGCTGGCTCTGGGCAAGCCTCAGTTTCCACATCTGTGAAATGGACGTGCTGTTCCTGCGCCGTCCTCACAGCGCCCACCATTGCTCCGTCTCATTGGGAGGCTTCCTCTCCCATCGTCCCTGTACTTGTCCAAGCATGGTGTCCCTCTCTAGCGGCCGGCCCCTCCTGATAACAAGCCCAGAGCGTGTGGGTTGGTCTCATCTCACCATCCTCGCTCCAAGGAGCTCTCTGGTCACACTTCTTTCACGACAGATCCGTCTGTTCTTTTGGCGGTCCATGGCGTAGCCGATATTCTTTGCCAGCACACAGTTCAAGGGCATCAGCGCTTCATTCTTCCGTCTTAGTCAGTGCCTCCAGCGATGCCTCGTGTCTTGACTATTCACTGCCCTTTTCCTCGGGGCTGGACGGGCTCTTGATGCTGACGATGGACCTCAGTGTTAGTAGTTCTAAGGCCGTGGTGATGATGCCCTCAGACCACGTGTTAGGGGCAGGCACACAGTAGGTGCTCAATCCCTCGTCACTGCCTTAGTCACCATGCCACCTCTGGGGACTGAGGGAGGCTGATGGGAGAGGGCCTGGCCTGAGGGTCACTCTGCAGTGGAGGCTTCTCTGTGATGTCCGAACCCCACTTATTCCAGGGGTGGCCGTGAAGGTGGAGGAGCCCAAGTACAAGAAGGACAAGCACCTTAACGACAAGATCTCCCTGTTCAGGGGTGACATCACCAAGCTGGAGGTGGATGCCATTGTCAACGCCGGTGAGTGGGGGTTCTGGCTGGCCTGGGTGGCCACGTCGTCGCCTGCCTTGGGTCTGCTGAGCTGGGCTCAGAGGACACTCGATGGCTCCAGTGGGACTCAGACTGCCCGGCTCCAGGGTCCTGCTGGCGCCACGGGAGCTCAGTGTGTCGGCCTCGGGCTCTGTTTCCTTGAAGCCGTGACCCGCTGTCTGTGTTGGGGGCACCTCGCCGATCCGCTGAGCATCGCAGACCATTAGTGGATGGAGGTGGGGCTTGGCTGACTTGGACCAGGCAGTCCTGCCAGGAACACAGGGAGAAGTGAGGGGTGGTCTGACCAGGCAGGCTGCACACCGGCCTGACCACCTCTTTTCCTCTTTTCACCTGCCTTGTCCCCTCGGACCAGGCAAGTGAGGAACGTGGGGAAGGAAGTGGCCCCCCTCCAGCACGGAAGCTGCTTCCTGCTTCCTCCCTTGCTGGCTTGTCACTTTATTGTCTGACAAACAGAACTGTATGGCCACAGGGGATGGGGAGAGGGGTTGTCGCCTGAGCTGGGGAGTCATGTTTCTGTCTCCTCTTATAGGAGGGATGAAGATGGCCCCTCCTCCTCCTCAGTGAGGCCAGAAGACTCCAAAGAGTGACTCTGGAGGACTCAGCAGTGGGGTGTGGGCAGGGAGCACTACCTATGGTCTTTATGGTGGTTGTGGGGCCAGTGGAATGGGGGCTGCCTCCCATCCTGGCTGGGACCCCTCATGGAAGAAGGATGGTCTTTGTCTTCACGTGGGAGATCATCCTCACCACCAGCCAGGCCATCTTGGGCACATGTGGGGACCCTTCCAGAGCTTCTGGCCTGCAAGTCTGCGGTGCAGAGAGGAAGTCCTAGGTATTTCCAGGACGTGGGGTGTGGATACCAGCCTGAGGTCTGTGTGTGCTTCTGGTGGGGACATTGCTTTGTGTCTGTCCCTGTCGTCATTCACAGAACTGTACAGTCACAATGGATTGTACCCTTTGCCCTTTCTACCTGTCTCAGGTGCACAGGTGACAAGGCCAAGGCAGGAGTGTCTGAGGGGAGCGGAGGGAGTTTGGGTCGTCTTTGAATGTGTGCGTCAGTGTTGCTGTCCCCACTGGTGACTAAGTCTGGGACGAGTGGGTGGGAGCAAGGTGAGTGAATCTGCCTGGGGACACCTGGCAGTGAGAGCCATTTCTGGTTGAAGCATCACAGTGGTCGAGGGTGCCTTCAGCAGGATGATGGAGTGGCCCTGAGTCTTTGAGGACGAATGTGTCCAGGGCAGAGTTGAGCCACGTCTTGACCTTCAGCAGGGGCAGCTGCTCCAATGTCATTTTCTGTGTGTGGTACCCTGGCCTGGGATCACCCCCAGAGTGTAGGAGCTCCCCACGAGCGCTCTTATAAAAAGGAAAGCGATCAGCAGGGGTGGGTGGCCGTGAGGGTGGGAGCAGGGGCGCAGCCGCAGATGCAGAAGGAGTGGATGGGCGGGAGGTTTTGCTCCGTGGCAGCGAGATTAATGGCTCTTCCTAAGTGCCCTTGTGACTCGCCAGCCTCCGAGTGGCGGCTGTGTCAGCTCCTCACCCTCAGAAAAGCACTTTAGTCCTGGCCGTCGCTCTACTGCGCAGGGGCTGGGGGAGGGCCTGGGCTCCCCCTTCCTCGCTCCAGTACCTGCGTTTTGTCCCCAGATTGGCGGCAACACAAAGCCACCTCCTGTGTCTCTGCACTGAAGCCCACGCTGTGCGCCCAGCTCGCTTGGACCGGTAGCTGTGATTGATGCCCCAGCTGGGCGTCTCCCCTCACTCCCTGTGTGACTCAGTTTACCCAGTATCACTCGCTGTGCTTCCCTGGGCTGGCTCTTCTCTTGAGACTTAGAAGATCCACCCCCTGCCTGGAGCCCGCTGAATTGGGGGTGCCCACACAGAGGCCCCTAGCGATCTTTACTTGATGTCAGGGTCACCGTGGTATTGGTGGCGTCTCCGGGTCCCTGGCGGCCTTGGTACTGTCTTTGGCATGCTCAGCAGCCTTGGAAGCGCCTTGGGGGTCTGGATGAGGATCAGCTATCTGTAGCTTTGGATCGGACTTGGTTTGACTCTAGGCCCAGAATGACTTTGGGCCTTCAGTCCCACACCCGTGAGTGTGTGGCGTTCTGCATAGATCTTGTCTCTGGCCACTTCCTTAGGGTTCCAGAATGACTTTTGTCCTTGCGCCCCTGGGTCAGTGTTAGTGGGGGGATCATCCATAGGCTAGCCTTAGGCCCCATCTTTTGGGAGTCTTTGGGTGACACGCTTTCTCAAGCAAGGGAGGGGTTCCTGAGGGCGCCAAAGGACCTCGGCAACCTTGTTATGAATCCTGAGGTCTGCTTTTGTGTCCACACGCCCCACACTTTGGCCCCAAGTCTCACCCCTTCTCTGACTGCCTTGGCCCCGCCCCCTGCCCAATCTCTTACAGTCCTAGTCCTGCCCCCTTGCCCGCTGCGTAGTTGGCCCCCCTCCCCCACAGTTTACAGACTTGGCCACGCCCCTTATATTCTCCTACAGCCCTAGCCCCGCCCCCCACAGTTTACACACTTGGCCACGCCCTTCACCTTCTCTTACAGCCCTAGTCCCACCCCCTCGCCTGCTGCGTACACGCCCCACCCCTAGTTTACAGCGTTGGCCACGCCCCTCACAAAGCACTTAAAGTCTCGGCTCCTCCCCCTCGGCCCTTGTACACAATCCTGGCCACGCCCTTTGTCCCCTGCGTTAGAGCTCGCTCACGCCCCTCTGATGCAGCACTGGTCCCGCCCCCTCGGGCCTCGCTCACAGCCTCGGCCTCGCCTCTCGTCCTCACTCACAGCCTCGGCCCCGCCCCTCGTCCTCGCTCACCGCCTCGGCCCGCCCCCTCTGCCCCGCCCCCATCCTCGCGCACAGCCTCGGCCCCGCCCCCTCGGCCTCGCTCACAGCCTCGGCCCCGCCCCTTGCCGCCGCCAGGGGGCGGCAGAGCTCGCGTCTCCGGGCACCGCCCCGGCGGTAAATCAGCTGGGTTATTAGCGGAATAAAAGTCGTGGGGGACGCAGGGCTTTTCGGGGTGGCATAAATCTGCGTCTGTGCTGCGTGAAGCCCATATGTGCTTAATTCATATGTAAAGTTTCAAGCAGGAAGAGAATACATGTCCATTAAATTCTATTTGACTTGATTATAATCATTAGCCGTGAATAATTGCTTCTCAGCGCCGGCCACGGAGCCTCCACAATGGGAGGAAGGAGGGAGCAATTATCTCGGGTGGGAATTTAAAAATGTGTATTTTGAAGACGAGGGCAGCCTTGGTCGCGCGAGTACTGGTGGCCTGTGGGGAACCTGCAGGTGGGACTGGGCTGCGGCTGGGGGTTTGAGGTCCGAGAGTCCCTTTTTGTTCCCCCCTTGTCCCCTCTCTGTCCTCCTGCCGTGTGTTGGGGGGGATGCGAGGTGTGGCTGCACCGCCCCCTCCTCCAGCTGCAGCTGCAGGGACTTGGGGTGTAGGGGGAGCAGGGCGGGGCCTATGAGAGGATGCAGGGCCCTGGATCTTCTATCCTGAAAAATCAGGTGAGGGGTGGCTCCAGCCAGGCTGAGGTCTCCCCTCCTGCCCTTGTGTTGGACCCTGGTGACCCCTGGAGAGGACAGACTTGGTGCCCGCCTGCCATCTCTCCTGGCCCCTCTCCTCCCCACAGTCCATGGTGTGCTGTGCCCCCCCATCCTCTGGCATATGAAATCAGGTCTGATTTTCACCCCACTGCATATAGGAGATGGTGGTGTGAGTGATGTGCATATAAATGGGATTGTGTGATGTACGTGGGGTGTAAATGCTAGTGTGATAATGGGAGGGTGTGATCTATGTGGGTGTGTGTGTGATGTGTGTGGGGTGTGTATGGGTTAGTATGACTGTATATGTAGTTATATGTTTTGTGTGTGTATGTATACGGTACATATATATGATGTGTGGGCATGTGTAAGTAAGATTGTGTGTGTGTTTATGTATGTGTGAGATGTGGGGTTGAGTGAGGTGTGGGTGTGTGCTCACGATTGTGGGAATGATGTGTGGACGTGTGTTATAGTGTGTGGTGCATAGTGTCTGTGAGCCATTGTGTGTGTGTGTGTGTGTGTGACCTGTATAGTGTCTGATATGTGCAGTGTGTGTTTGTGTGATTTTGAATGTATGGTGTGAGCTTGTGATACAGGGTGTGTGTACACGTGTGGCTATATGATGTGTGAAGTAGGTGAGTGGGGTGTGTATGTGTATATGTGTGGTGTGTATATGTGTGGGGTGTTTATATGTGATGTGTGTTATGGGGAATTGGGAACTGGAGCAGACTGTTCCTGGCCAGTGGGGAGGGGAGTTTAGGTGGCAGAGATTGGACCCCCAGACCGAGTCAGCCCCATAAGGCTCCCAGCCCTCCTGGGCCCCTTCCATGGGCTGTCAGCTGATCACAGCCCCCCTGCCCCGAGCCAGCTCCCACCATCTGTGCAGCTACAGCTCCTGCCCGTGGGGCCCCACTATGTCCATCTTAATTAAACTGGGCTGCTGATGGTGAAGGGAGCCTAGAGTGCCAGCAGGTGCCCATCCTGCAGTGGTGACCACAGGCTGTTTGCAGGGCGCTGTGTGGGCAGTAGCTGCACTGGAGTGGGGTGCTGGAGGGATGTTGGCGGGGTGCTCTGGCTTCTGGAGGCTTTTTGTGTGCTTTTTGCCCCTAGGCAGCACACCTTTGACCCGGCCACTTCCTCCCATGCCCCTGTGTCCTAGCTGTGTCTCTTTCCTGTGGGGCCCCTTGTCCCCAAAAGATAGATGAGTCCCAGACAGGAAGTGTCCACAGCAGAGAAAGACCCCCATTCTTGGGCATCCCAGGGGCTTGGTCCTGGCCTTGGCCAGCAGGGCATGACAGGACAGAGGGGATGAATGTGGCACTTTGTACAATGACGGAGTGACCCTTCCCCTCGGAGCAGTCCTTGGTCAGCATTTGGGGCCGTGGAAACTTTTGTTTCCTTGGATCGAGACTGACCTGTGG